AGCTCTTCCGACCCAGGCCGCAGTCGTATTCAGCTGCTTGGACTCCTCGAGTGCTGAGGGCTGCTGTCATCAGTGCCCCAGGCTCACACTAGAGACGGTATTTCATTTTTTACGTTTTGATTTTAGTGCACAGAGACTAAACTCCACCTGATCCTATGGAAACTGTAAGAAGGTACACAACGCGTTAGCTTTTCCATATATCCTTTGGTAGGCAAGCAATTTTTGAGGAAATAGACTGTTAAAAAGGTAAGGGAACTCTCAGCCAGGAGAAGCATCATAAATCAATAGGGGTGAATGAAACTCTGCAGGAAAACCAGACACATGCCCAAATTAGGTAGATGGAAACAGAAAGGCTGGGAGAAAAGCATAACTTGGAGCAAAAAAGAAAAAAAAATAAGAAAAAAGCTGTCAGGCAGCAAACAAAGCTAACTCTTTAATTTTACTTTAAAATTTTACTGTTGTGGCTGAGACAATAAAATGAAATAGCTTTAGAAAATAAGAAAAGAACAAATGGAATCAAAGAAAGGGAATTTTACATGACATTTGAAACTTGAAGATGATACAATTCACTTCCTGTTACCTTCCCACTGAAGTTCTCATAACTGGGCTTCCTGATGGTCCTTCCTTCTCAAAGAAAATACTAGCATACGGGAAAGAGCTGATGATTCAGCGCAGTAGAGTCATTTCTTTTGCCGTGTTGTTTTAAAAACCAAAGACCAAACTGAAATTGGTTGCTGACAAATCAAAGGTAGATCTTCAAAATAAATTGAGTTATACATAACATGGATACAGATAAAGACAGAATATTTCTTAATAATTCTAAGAAGGGGAATACGAATAAAATTTTCAATTTATTTTCTTATAAAGAAAACACACAAAGAGAATGTGAGAATATGAGGCTGAGCAAAGTGACTGAGCGTATGAAACATAATTATTTGCCAGTGCAAGTACTTTTGAGGACAAGGAAAATTTTGGAGTGGGCTAAACTCTTGCCAAAGAGCGTTTTTTCTAGCTGCAGCCCAAGAACTGTTAAACAATAGCTTTAAAACCTGGTCAATTGGTAGTTGAAATCTTATGAAGCAACATAAACTCAAGTGTTCATTACGTACAGCTTGTTTGAGACCAGTCAGATTCTATCTGTTTTCTGAATGGAAAAGAATTTTATTTTACTGATCAACTGGCAAATTTCAACATATGTTGATTGAACAGAAATGTTATTTTGGAAAAAAAAAATTGAATATGAGGAAAAAAAAATGCTTCAGCATTATGGAAAGGCCTATCTAGATAGTTTTGTTCTGAAATGATTTTTCTTTCTAAGCACATCACTGCATAAAATGAAATGTCACAATCTGAGTGCAACATTTTGATTGATCTGAAAACAAATCCAAACAAAAATTATGAAATGTCAAGCTTCTATATATCTCTGTTCTTCTTTTTGTAAGAAATCAATCATGTTCCATCTATTTGTTGTGCTACTTAATTTGCACCTTTTTATGAACCATTACATTTTTATATTATCAAAGTAAATAGTCTTAAAAACACTATACTGTCAGTCACCTTTTCATTCCTCACTTCTGGAAGAAAATATCTTCTATGTAGAGTGTTCCCTTTAGGAATGGGGCTGTCTCTTTTCCCTCTCCAGCATTCCCCCCCCACCCCAAGCGCTAGCTGGCTTTATGCCCATATCTGGAGGAGATGAGGGCCCCCGGGAGCCTGGACTGTGTGAGCAGCCCCGAGATGCGGGTGAATCTCCTTTCCGCACTGTAGCTCAACTTGAGAGTTGTTTGAACTTTCAGTACACTTTTAGAACTTGCTGACGTGTCAGAAGGAATTTTAGAGTAAACATAAAAAGCCAATAAATATGTCTTAAGGTGAATACAGGTGTCTGTTTAGTCACAAAGTCATTGTATTCGGGGAAAATCAAATCAGCTGCACTTGCATATCTTTAAATGGATTTAACATTTGACATTATAACTAATATAAAGCCTCGATTGCTGAGGTTTACAAAGAAAATGTATTCAGTTAAGGTCAAGTGTCCACACAAACTGGTAGCACAAGTGAGCATCTGCAGGTGAGCAGTGAGCTAAAAACAGAGCCTAAAAAAACTAGGGCCAACTGCATAATACAAGGTTCGCTACCAGAAGTGCTAGATCAGTAATAATTTATTTGACAACAGTTAGATTCAATTTGGATATTAGACCTGTCATTGAAAAAGACTTCTGTTTTTCCTTCAGTAGTGCTTTGAGATGATCTTGCTTTGAAGCTATGTCAAAATAGCTCTGAATCAGGAGAAAGCTTAATATTTTTAAGTTGCAAGTCTAAACAGCCTCAATGTAGTATAAAATTGTTCTGAGGATCGAACCTCCTGCTATGGCACCCTGGAGCATTCAGTCACTTTCAATAAATCTCTTTTAATAATTTCTCACTTGTCTTTATTATTACTGAAAGTCAGAGCATCTGAATGCAATGTCAGAGAGAAAAAAGGCTTGAGCTAGATGGAGGAGTTAGGCTTATTTGAAAGTTAACAGGAAGCAAAAGTAATCCAGATGGGAACGTACTGGGGAAAGGGACTTTTTCACATGAATTTACAGGTGGTGGTTGTCAACTCTGTCAGCGGGGATACCATTTCTTCCATTTCAAGAAGTTATGTCACAGGATAGTATATTGAGAACAGACTTTCAGAGGTCTGTTCTTCTCATCTTTAAAGCGTTCCTTTTATTCAGCTTGCTTTCATTACATCTGGAAAAGCTGCATTCCTCATCTCTTGGGAATATATGCTGTTAAATTATTTGTCACATGGGGTACAGATGTGAGCTGCTTGACATTTTTCTGGTCCTTTAACAAAAAACATCCGCACAGCAACTTTCCATTAAGAAATACCTTGTGAGTTTTGTGAAAGGGCTTTTCATGTACTTTGTGTACTTTGTGCCAATTACAACCCTTTTGGTGACTAATTCATTCCCTCATTGCATACGGCACACCGTTAGGTGATGAAAAATTCAGGCTGGAGAAGGCTCATTTATCTCAAGTTGGAAGCCAAACTTGCCCTGCACAGGTTTTCCAATGCATTTATTCAAATTTTGATAGAAGACTAGCTCATAACTCTTACCCCTAAAATTATCTATGTAAATAAAGGTAGTGAACGAAATGAGCTGGATTGAAGCATCAAGTTGGCTGATGAGTTTTTCATCCGTTGTCGCTATCTCCCAGCACCTTTCTGCAATTGACCCTTTACCGCTCAGGTCAAAGCTATTCCCAGTTTTCCTCTGGCTCCTGTAGTCTGATTCGTATAGGTTCTGTGGTCCAAAGGGCCATTTTGAATCCTAAAATATATTTCCCCATGAGCTATTAGTTTAACCTGTCTTTTTTAAAAACAAAAACAGAGGAAACAACACCCTCTAGCCAAACTGCAAAGATTCAGTGAAAAAAAATGAGCATTCATTGTGTCTTACTGAGTCTGAAACAGAATTATTTATTACCGATCTTGGGGAGAGCCATTTTGTTCTGCAGAAGATGACATTCCAGGGAGCAGAGTATTTGATAAAGAAGGAAAAATCAGGAAAGAAATCGTTAATCTTTGGCACCTTCTGGTTTTTTGCTGCAGGTCTGCCAGGAGGAGTCTTCTCGAACAGGCTCAGGGAGGATGGAGGGAGCTAGTTCTCTCTTTATGATTGCTTTTCTCTCGTAAACAAACGCTGAGCCTTGCTAGCACTCTATCACAGATGAGATTTAATATATATAAAACTCTTGACAACTGCAGTGATAATTTTAGCCTGCCAGTTTATGAGATTATAAAAGGAAGTTTACCCTTGCCAGTCTTTAAAGTTGCAAGGCTGAGTTTGGGCCCGATGTAGTCTATAACCCAGACTATTCATTCTCAGGCTGAGACAGAAGCTGGCCCCCACAGTGCCCTGTAACCAGACAATACAGTATGGCTGTTTGGCTGCAGTAGAGAGAAACATGTTTATTTGAAGCTATTGTAGCTATAACGCCATGAAAAAGATGTGGCTTAAAGTGCACTTTTCGGAGTATTCCTAGGATAAATAATGCTAGTGATTGCAGGGGGGCACAGAGTAAAATAGGGCCTCGTTCATCATTGCCGTTCTAATCACTAGATTGCATGAATATGGAGCATTACGGCTAGAAGGACATTAGCATGGGAAACGGCAGTTCTTTGCCTGCAGTGAGCCTTTTAATGGAGTAAAACGTAATTCCTGCAGCTTCTCACGAGCAGGTGAGGTTTTCCCGTCGGGGCTGGTGTTGCTTTTCCGTGCTGGTATCTGTAGGGACGTGCAGCGGTAGAGACGCCGTTGGGCAGGAGCTGGGCGGTGGAGCCCGTGCGCCCCGAGGGTGGCCCTCGAGGGGAGCAAGGGAAGTGTGGCAGTGATCAGGGAGTTCATGGAGCACAGCCTATTTTTCATCGTTTCTCTCAGTACTCCAGAATACTGAGGAAGAAGCTGTAAGGTAGGAGAGATTTTTCCACCAGTGTTTTTTCTTTCCTTCCTATGGTTCTGGGCGAGACTGTGATGAATCTTGGAAGTCTTGCGATTCGGGTCGTCTGGCAGAAGTTAGCATCCCACGCTCTTGGCTCAGGTTGCAGCTCAAGGGCAGTGTCTTGGCTGGGGAGACTCCTCCGAAATGGCTTTCTCCTTGCTCAGGCTGGCTCTCCTGGGCTGTGCAATCGGGCAATAATGTTTCTATTCAAATGCCCTTCAGTATTTCCAATCTGTTGCAGAAGTACTAGTATTTGACAAAGTGAAACCGTTAACCTGTTTCCCTAAGGTAACGCGGACGAGAGCAGTCTGCTGCATGGTTGCTATCGCTGGACTTGAGCCGTGCGGAGGGAGCGCCATGTACTGAGCCCACAGCGGTGGCTTTCCAGCAATGAGGACACTCGTTTCTCTCTCTTTCCTCTCCCCAGCCGTGAAGCTTCATGAAACCTGGAGGAAAGCAGTGACATCATCTATTTTATCAAATTTGGTTAAATCCAGTGAAAGACTTCAAAAAGGAAGACAAGAAGACTGCGGGAGGGAGAGTGAGCTGCCTGTGCAACTGTGAATATCTCTATTTCCTAGGAAGCAGCCTAAAAAAAAATATCAGTTCTTCAATTAGGATATTGATCTTCTTGAAGTGAAGGTAAAGGTTAAGATTTAGTTTTCTTCCTTATTGATAAGACTCTGGCTTATAATGAGGAGACACAATGTTGTTAAAAGCCTTAGGAAAGGTCCAGGGATTATAGTGCTGATGATGCTTTACTGAACGGTCTAGAACTGTGACAATAGGAAAAGATAAGTCTTTTAATTAAGTATTTCATATATCAGTTGTAATTATTTCCAGTTAGCACTAATGAAGTAAGGATGGTGCAAACAAGCAATATAATCTGGTGATAAGCATTTTTTTAATTAATATAAAGGGCACGGATAGTACTAATTGACTCAGAGTTTGTTTGTTTGTGTTTTTTTTTTTTTTTTTTTACATATGTTGGTGTTATAAGAAATAAAGCCTTTCATTTTTCTTAACCATTTCTCTTCTTTTCTTTTCTTCCATTGCAACATTTTTGACTGGCTGTACTTTCAACATTTTGGTTATCCCAAGCTCACTTTTATCCAGGAAAAGATATTGTCCTAGAATTTCTACGCACAAAGTTCCTTAAACATTCTTGAAAAGTCCTTTGCTTTTCTGAATTAATTCAGTGGCTGTTCTCTATTATAGTTGAATGATTAAACACAGATTGATACGCGCTCTTCTTGAACTATAAAGTCTTAAACAGATTACATTTTCTGATGAAACTGAATTCTTGCCTCATTTCCATTGCCATAGTTGCCGTTGTTAACAGTATAATTGAAAATTGGATGTTTGTGAGACGAAACAGTGAAAACAGGTGCACTTTCCAATAGGGAGGTAAGTCCAAATGCCAAAAACATCAAACTGAATTTCAGATCTGCTTGTGGTTTCAGATATTGATATTCTTTATGAATATTCAGGATTCTTTCCAGGAAATGCAGCCATAGAAAATCATTTAACTTATTCTTATATGAAGCAATGCAATACATTGTTTTGTATCAGGTGTGGCTTGGCTAGCTTGAATATCTCAAAACACTTGGAGATTTTCAGTAGCTGTTTGAGGTTGCTATATCATTAGTGATATTTGTAAGTATAAAAGTAGAAAAATTATGCTACATGATAAGGTTGTCCAGAGCAGGAAAAAAAAAGGCAGTATACTTCTGAAATTCCGTTTATACATATATGAGAATGAGGATATATAACACCTTCTCACTAAACGTTTTGAGCAAAGATACTGTAACAGTGCTTACGAGCCATTGTGAGATACAGCTATATTTCACCAACTTATCTAGGATTACTTCCTAATGTTCTGGGGGTGGTAGCACAAGCTAGACATACCGTGCTGGTGGAGGTGGTGCTCCTCTCGCTGCTTTGAGCAGCAGAACAAGTTTAGTTTACGTTTTGGGCTGAAATCTTTTCCTTTGGTTTAATGTGGCCCACTGGAGTGCCTATGAGACTGCAGTGCTTCCTGGAGGTACAGTAAGTACTGCCACTGCTAAACAATGTCTTTGCTTTCTTCCATATGAATATTAAAGGGAAAGTATGCCAAAACTGCATTGAAACTTGAGAAACATGATTAAAAGATCATACTTCTGGTGCAATCTCATTTAGTCTCCTAAAAGCTATCAAAGAAGATAATTACATCAGCACCAAGCCGCAGCTCTAGGACTGACAGATACCCCTAATTTCCTTTGGTTTCTGTGGAAATTGTGAGTGTTAAGCGCATTTCAATATCAGTCCTTGAACAGGGGATCATAAGTCTTTCCATTACTAAAATTACTTATTTTTAAGGCACATTAGGTATTAGCACTTAGAGGAAAAAAAAATTAATCGTAATAATGAGTATTTTCTCTCCACGTTTTAGGTGAGCAGCATGTAGTCATTGTCATAATAAATCATGAAGTACACAATTCTGCGAGACTTAATGGATTACTAGAGAATAGAGGGGCCAGCAAAATGAACTACGGGAGAACTGTAGTGTTATTAAACTGCACACATTTCTAAGACAGATCGTGCAGTTAACTGGCAAATTGCTTAGTCTATTAATAAAATTCACAAGAAGCAGCAGAATATGAGATCCTTGTTCTGTACATAGATAGTTTGTCCTTTTCAGTAAATATGACTTTAAAAGCTGCTGAGTAGTTGGGTAAGAACTGCCTTTTCTAGTCATTCCAGCATCTATTTGAAATTATATTATGTCATCACCGCACCAAATCTCATTGTGCTGGGTAATGTTACTGCATGACATGTTACAATAAATGTATTCGCTCATTGCTTTGGCTTATATCTCAAGGGGCCGATTTTACTCTTGATGGAGATAATTATATCTAAAATTCTCTGCCATGCTAAGAGATTCTCCGCGGCTCATGAAATACTGCAAACGTTAATAGAAAAGTAAGAACTTCACTTTGTACATTGCTAAAAGTGCTTTACTTTCTAGGAGGTTGACAAATATCATCTACCTGAATGAAATATGACTAGAAAGAAGGGAGGAAATGGTTTTGGATTAGATTCTTTTTTATTTTTATGTTTTCAAAATATTTTAAGATTTGCTTTTTCTTTCTCTCAAGTTTTATTAAAGTTTCTTTTGAAACGTAGGCAGGAAAGTCAGTTCTGTAAAGGGCACAAAACAGCACGGAGCATGGGAAAAGGTATTGCAATGCTGCCAGTACCATGGGCAGCCCCAACTGCTCCTTTTCAGAATGCATCCTCTCTGTTCTTGGTCTGAAGACCCTTTCAGATAAGGGATACGTGTGCGCAGCTCTGAGGTAACAGCTGTTACAGGATGGAAACTACGTTTTCTGCTTCCCTTAGATCACATGCCATTTTTTGGGGAAGTCAGAAATTGAGGCCTATTTTATATGTTTAGCTATTTTTAGAGAATTTGATGGTCTAATATCAGCCTGAACTTATTGAATAAAGTTTCCTGTGAACGCTGGGCTGGAGTTTGTCTTGCCCATATTTGTAGGGCTGAAAGTACATAAGAAGATTTTCTCCCCCAGAGTCCACCGAGGCCAAGAGCAATCACTTCCTCGCTTTCCGTGGGATGCAGAGAGCAGAGCGCTTCCCGGTGAGAGGCTTATGAACGATGTGTATTGGTTCTTGCCAAAGAGGGAAGAACGTTCTTACTCGTTATGTGTTTTCTCTAGGTAGTCTCTTTACCTTGTACAAAATGGAAAATTGCTGCATCTTGAAATGTTCTAACACTTCATTAGAGTCAATGGACTTTGGATCAGGCCTAGAAACTGGTTAGGAAAATAATGATGGTTAATTGAGATTTGGTTTGGTTTCCTCTGACTGAATAATATATACTTGCAGCAGCAAATAATCTCTTTTCAAGCTTTTAAACCAAATCTTGGTTTCTCTTAAGTTGCAGGCAAAACATCAGTGTATGAGATGGCCTCCTTTTTTTCTGGAAGGGTTAAATAGTGTCCTTGTCTGTCTTCAGTAAGGCCAAATTCTGAAAGCCAATAAAGCTGAGTTTTGTTTGTCGCCCACAAGCAGAAGAGTGATGGCAGTAAAGTCACATTGAGGTAGAACTAGGATATCTTAGAAAACCTGCCCAGTAAAATGAACTTTTGACAGAAGCTGCTCCGCGCTGAGAGAGAGCGCCATTTAAAGATACAAGGAAGACCTTAAGTTACAAAACGTCCTGGGAGCCAGAGTCCTAGCTTATGGAGAAAAATACATGGCTGTAAAATTAAGAAGTAATCCAGCCTGGGACAAACGTTTTTCAAAAGTCTGCCCCTTCTTCAGTTAACTGCTAGGATCTAATTTCAGAGAATTAGAAGTTCTGTTTTTTTTTTCTTACAGTATGTAGAGGCCCAAATCTGAAAACAATTGCTATCAGAAATAGCACTTATTTCTATTAATTCAGTGATGTTGACAAGCTATAGTTCAGGTATTACATGATCCTCATCCTTATAATAGGTGAGGACTGCCCAAGAATTGGATTTCTATTTGTGGCTAAAGCTCATGGTGCCCTTGGCAGTGCTACCTCCCCTTTACTGACGTAGCTGAGTTATAGACCTAAATACAGTGAGATGCTGGAGCCAAGTAATTTCCCATAGTCATTTACAAGCTGGGTCTTAAGAAGTCCTGAAAAATTTTCATGTTTCCTCTCAGTCTATAAGCAGTGGTTAATAATGAATATATCTTTATTACTACGTGCTGCACCCAAAAGTAAGTATTTAGGAATGAAACCCTAGGATGAAAGGCAGACTCTCTCCTATCTTTAGGTATGGCAAAATGTAAAGGAAGAAATTTAACAGGCTGAAGTCAGGGTAAAGTCTTAGGTGGAGGAATTTGAAATATGAGAAAGGAGGAAGTTGGGGTAGACCTTATTTCCCTATTCTGTGCATGCAGCATCCCCATTTGCTTGCAGGTACAGCAGATACAGGATGCTCATAAATCAGCATGATGCAGGTGCCGATTTCGTGCGTTGTACCTGCCGGTTCCCAGGGAGCGCTTTGCTCCTGGAGCATGAGAGCTGGCACGGCCGGCAAGCTGTGCTCTGCAAATGGGCCACCAGCCCGAGAATTTAGCTCTGCCTGGTGCCCAGGGCTTTGATTTTTCCATTTGTTAGCCAGCCAGGAGCAGCAGTCGCATTGTGGGGACTGATCCAAACCTCACGGTTGAATGCACATAGACTAGGCAGGAGTTTCCCTGGCCCTGGGCCACTGCAGCAGGATTAGTGCTGGAGCCAGAGCATCTGCTGCCCTCTCTGACTTCGAGACACTATTGAATTTATTCCTCTCTTCACCACCATAGTTGTTCCCTGAACCTCCATAGTACATATTAACTGGCAGTTATGTGAGCAGTGCAAATGTTATCTGGGAGCATTAAAACAGTTTTGGAAATATGAAACCTGCTTTTGGTGCTAGGAATTAACAAGTTTGCTAAATGGAAACTTGCTCTGCTTCCTATATGTCTTGAACTCGCATGTCATATGAGAGAAACAGCTGAAAGTTTCAAAAAGAAATTCAATTTGATTATGTTGGCCAATTATTAGCAAAATATTTATCCACTATTTGTGCAAGGGTGCCTAAAACTCTGGACTGGTATTACCTTTGTAAAAACCTCTTGTTGATCTAAATAGGAATGAAATCATACACTAGTATATCTAAGTGTAATAGGGTCAAGATCACTAGAAAATGTCTATAGCAGTGGGTAGAGAATCACAGATTTTCTGTAGGCTTTGTGAACCAGACCTGAGATTCCAGAACCAGAATATATCATAATATGCAAAAATATGCCTACAGAACACTTACCGTTTTATATGAAATTTCTTACAGATCTCCTTTATGAGTCTTAATTTGTAAACATATGACCTGACCTTTTCAAGAAAAAGTGTCATATTTACAGAAAGAAGAATGATTTAGCAGATATATCTAGGAGCTCGGAGATGTTGGTTCCGATCCTTTCTTCTAACAGGGGATCAGATTTGCCTTATTCTGGCTGGAGTGTCTCCATTGGCTGGAGTGTCTCCACTTCACTTCCATGGTGAAGTATCACATGTTTTTGAAGACTCGGAGAGGAAAATGGACCTCTGTGGGGTCCTGTACAGAAAACTAGATGACTTTGCATCCTGCAATCTTCTGGCCCAAGTTTTGTATCTTTCCCCAAGTCCTTGAAATCAGTAAGATTCACCAGAGAGAAAGAAAGGAAAAGAAAAAAGAGTAACTAGTCATGATGAATCAGGGTGACAGAACTGCCTTTCAAAATTTCAAATTTAAAATGACTTTTATTAAATCTAATTAAAATTAATTGCTTCTGCTTCTTTAGATAGTCTAGATCAGAATGAGTATTTTCATCCCCCAGATCTAGCCCTTCATCTCTCCTCATTTGCTTTGAAGTGAGTCTTCACAGCACTGACATTAGCTAAGAGGGCTATATTAAGAAAGTGGAAAAGCTCTGCTTGTCTATCACATCCCAAGATGGTTAACTGAATTTTATAAACATCTATGATAGAAAAAATATAAATTAATGGAAGATGTAATAAAAAAGTTATAGTTTATGTGAAAACCTCTCAGAGGTATTATGGAGCACTTTTCTTTTTAATGACTATACACTAATATGGCCATTGACTTTCCACACATTTTCTGCTAATAGCTTTTATTAATTCTGGGTCAGATGCAGTAGAAATTCAATACATTTCATTTTGCATTTATATTTGTGGTTGAGTCTTAAGTAAAACTTATTTAATTTAAAAACAGAGAAGTTCAAAATAGTTGACAGCTGCTCCAATTTCCATTAAACTCTTTGGAAAGGCTCAGTATTGTCTAAGTATGCTATTGTCTGCACTGGCGTCTATCAAAAAGTCAATGTTTGCCAAGAATTGCCACATGTTAGTCTCTGAGATACTGCACTTTCATAAAATAGATCATTCTTGCACCTGTGCTGTTATTTAAGACACAACATTGATCTTTAATGGTGATGTTTGCATATTATCTGTCTGGAAAGTGCCTATCACAGTGGTGGAACTATATAAATAACAATATATTATCTATATGCCTTATGCCTTATCTATCATTGGAAAATATTTTTCACCTGTTAGGTGTTGAAATGTTAGGTGACTAGATATCCTTTAGCGTTTTCTGTCTACCAGCTGAAAGTGTTTTAGGACATCTGTTAGGATAATCCTTGAACACCATAAAGGAGAGAAAATAACACAAAATACATTTTCATTTACTTTTTGCTTTTTTAAAGGTTTTCTTTCTTTATTTGCATCATCATTGGAAGAAAAAAAATTTGCTTTTAAAGGTATTTTCTTCCTTGTATAACCATTGTTTAATTTGCCTTGATCCTGCAGTGAATGAATTATTGTGAATTTATGGACATATTAATCATCTCCATGGAAACAGTTTGCAATTTCACAGCACAGGAGTTTGACTTCCCTGCATGCCAACCAACAAGGAAGGAAGAATCTGAAAATGGGTAGCTGAGTAGAGATATAACACCCATCCAAACTCAGTCCAAGTCAAAAATCATTAACATCCACTGTCTACTCACAGGTCCATAAGAGAAATCGCTCTCCTTCCAGTCTGCGGGTGACTAGTGCCGACCACAAGAGATCAGCAATCTGCAAGCAAGAGTTGAGGAGGAAAAGGTCACATATCATACAACAGGCTGAACATGCCCTCCTTTAAGGACTGGCTTTGTAAGGGTAAATTTGTTTCTTTTTTCAGTCGGGTTACTTAAGAAACTCTGTGGTTATGTGTTTGGCTATGGCCAGAAATTGGGGAACCTCAATAAATGAGACGTATTAACCATAGAGAAAAAAGTCCCATATGAGGCTGGACAGAAGTGCTGATCAATAAGACAAATGCCAGGTGTTCAGTGTAAGAGAAGGAAAGTAAATAATGAAAGTTTGAAAACACACAGTAATAGAGCAAAACTCAGAGAAAGAGAAAAAACTAGTAGAAAACTCTTCAGTCTTTTTTAAACCGAGCTGTCTGGGAACGTTGTTGGCCGCCCAGTATTTTCTCCTCGTCTTTGTAAATGGCAAAGCTTTCAGGTAGAGGCACGGGCTGCCCGTTTTTGGATCGCTAAATGCAGGACCTCATCCCAAGGAAAGGACTTGATTTCGTAGAAGAGGACAATTCTTGTGATATCTTTTCAGCCTGGACCCCAGTGTAGTCACTTGCCCTTGTCTTAAATTTCTTGTCTTTAACGTGAGTTGCCTGACAAACACAACGTCTAGATGCACAGAGCTAACCAGAACATTCCCCAGGTCAGTGCTGGGAAAAAGACACGTGTTATAGTTCAGGGGCTGAAAGGATTTAGTGCCTCCTACAGTATAGCGGGGTCTGGTCCCGAGGCTTCCAAATCCTGTATTATTTTCTCTCAGGAAGTGAAAGGGTTTATAAATATGTCTGCCTACCTATTAAAAAAAAAAAAAAAAACCCCAGGATCATGCTTCTTTTAGGCTACAGTTATCAGAACTTAAAATAAGTATTAGTAGCAGATCAGCAAACTGTCAAATGAAGAGTCCAAGAAGAAATGACGTTATATTGATTTAATGAGCGCAGCTCATAACGGAAACCTGCTGTGAAATGTTCTAAAGAGATTATTAAAAGAGCAAAAATTGAATGGCAAATACCTTTACAAAAAAGAAATCTATGGCTTGTAAAATGAAGAGAAAAGAAACAGAAGATTAAGGTCCATTTATTTCACAGAAATAAGAGGAGTTTTTTAGAAGATGTGCAGTCAGTCTTTGTGGAGTGGTGACAAGGTAGCATCCTTTATGCATACAGGTCCTAATTCAGATGATATACCTGAAGAAAACTAATAAAGGAAGGTGGATCACATGGATGATGACCTTTGAACAGAAATCCAAGGCCACAAAACAGTAGCATATTTCAGGAATCTTGGGTATGTTTGCCTGCATCTTGTGTCACCCCCTGCCAGGGTCCTCCACGTGTGCTACTCCTAGCGATTCGAGGCAGTGCTATGTAGTTTTCTCTAGAAGTAGTTTAACACTTTTGGTGCCTAATAAATTTGCAGCAATGAGCCGCTGTATCTGAAAAAAATCTACATTAGGGTAGTGTTTGTTTTTTTTCCCACCAAGTAAACAAGGATGTGAGTAAGACAGCTTTCGGCAATCTTATTTTCAGTTAGGTGTCTTACAACAAGACAAAAAGGTCTAGTCAAACCTCCAGCTGCTACTCCGTCAAGTGAAATATTCCTCTGCTAGTGATGAGAGCTGGATGCATGTGATCAAATAACTATTAGAGTAATTCTAAGTATGATTACTTTCTTGAATGCTGACATCCACAGAGAAAGCAGTTTCATTCGAGTTTTGTAGGCTGCAGATTTCTTCTGCAACTGGATATTCAGCCACATCCAGCAGTTCAGAATTGCTGAGCCAAAAATCCTTTAATGATTTGGAAAAAGGGAAGTTCTCTTGTGAAAGTGGTTGAAAAATGCTCATTTCTTTTTAAATGCCACATCTAATGTACTCCTGCGTTGCCAGCAGTTGTCCTGAGGGCAGGCCTTTGATAGCCCCTGTTTCACGTGCGCATGGGAAGTGCCCAGGAGAAGATTAAGGCCTAGTGAGTTGAACCAAAAAGCTGTGAATTCGGAAATTTTAGCTTTGCTTTCACTTGCTTTCAGATTAGCTAAGTCACTTGCTCTGGGTCTTGATGTCATCGACTGTAAGACTTCCCAAATGTAATCTGCCTGATTGATTGAGTAAATTCTGTAAAGCTTTTTTGGGGAAAAAAAGAGGAAATATTCCATACTAATATAAAACAGTATAAGTTATAACTATATATATCTGGCTTTTGCTTTAGAGTTTGGAGCTTAGAGATATAGACACACTAAGATGAATTATGTTTATTTAAGTATATTACTATTTTTTTTTTCCTGTAAAATATCTCTGGTTATTAGCTTGGGTGCATGGCTGCAGTGCACAGCAATATGGTTTCCGGAGCTTACTAGTATCTTCATGATGTTGTACTAAACTGTTTAAATGTACTAAAGAGTCCCTGGAATTTCAAAGCCCTTTTCATTCATCCAAAATCAGAACAAAAAAAATAAAAATCCCTACGTACTAACTGACTACCTAGAAAGGCATCTATGGACAATGTACGGTTCTGGGCATATTAAGTTAATTTATTTTCTGTAGTTGCCCTGTTCACTCTTTGGGTTAGCCAAAGGCACCCGGGTGTTTCAGTGTCTGGCCGGCACTCCAGAAATGAGAATTAGGTCTGAAGCATCAGGTTAAACCACAAGTAACACTTCTTTCCGAAAAAGTACTCTTGGAAATTAATTATGATCATAAAGCTGCCAATACTTTTCCTTTTCGTACTGTTCAGTTTTATTGCTGAGGTAGAACTGCTCAGCGTGGCTGAAGTGCTTTGTCTTAGTAATAGGCCCCAAGTCATTCTGCGGTGACGATCGTATTCTTTATTGACGTAAATGTGTAAACCCAGCAGCCTATTCAAATGTGTCAAATCCTTTAAGTGAATATTTTTAGAAGGGCTCCACTAATCATAGCTGCTTTTGGTTATGGTCTCAAAAACTGCATGTGAATTGATTGGCGGGGATTGCTAGAACTGGTCAAATCAAGAAAGAACGGATGATACTTTGGCCCACATTTCGCCCACTGACATGTGGGAGTTAGGAAGGCTTTAGCCCCTGTTGAGACAGATTCTTTACTGGAATGATTTTTTTTTACTCTTTAGATTTTGAGCATTGCTTGGCAATCCTCTGGACTTTTAAAATATCCTATTTATGATAAATAAATGGATATTATATATAATAGCATAAAAAATACTAGTGATCTTATCGAGAACAGCCCACGAAGTGGAAGTCAGCTGCAGGAGAATAGCCAGGTCACCTCACCCAGTCAACAGCAGGCAGCTGAGGTACGCATACCGTAGACCACTATTCTAGCTAAAGATGTACGGCACCTAAAAGTAACCGTGTTTTAGGTTAAACCGCGTTCTTTGGGTAAACCCCTCACCTGTCGGCGACCCACGAGGAATGAAGTGCAGCGCAGCAGCTAAAGCAGAGGGCCAAGAGCTGAGACGACCTGCGGTCTCCTTCCTTGAGGTAGCGTGTGACCTTCAGCAAACCACACACATCCACACTTTCAAAAACGACCTCTGCTTTTGGGTTCTTCTGCTTTCCGAGAATCTGTTAATCATCATGTGCATCACAAATCTAATCACAGGGACGCCGCGGAGATGCGAGCGGGGAATAGTCGTGTGGGAGCGCTACGGAGAGAGAACCTGTCCGGAAGGGAATGCAGTAAGTCGGGGAAGACAAAGCACAGCCCTTGGTTGTTGCTGTTTAGTGTGCGGGCTGAGGCTTGCAGGAGGTTTGAGTCTTCCCTTTTGGCCAGGCAGGGCTGCTCTTGGAGCGATGAGGCTGAGCCCTGTAAACCTCTCTCTGGAGGGAAGACTGTTGCTAGATTGGGGCCATTTGGGGTGTTTCTACCTTTTGGCTGCTGTCGGAGGGGTGATCTGCCGTGAGCTGCTGTGCTAAGGTTGGTCATGGGGGCTATATGGTTACCCGAGAGCTATGGATCCCATAACACGGTCACACACCTGACCGTCGGCTGTGTCTGGCCTTCGTGTCAGGGTGCCAGCTGGGAATTTGCTCCTCCTGGGAAGAATTTTTGCCAGAAGATTTCCAAGCTGTGCCTTGAGCCCAGGGGTGGCCTCCCAACAACTGCTCCTTGCGTGAGGGAGGGGAAAGGAAGGGGTGGGAATGAGAAAATGGCCGTCTCTAGAATGAGAAAACGGCTGTCTGACATACTGTGAGGGCTCTTTAGGTCCTCTCTGCCTGTGGTTTCAGCTCCCTCTGTTTTCCTCCTGCTTTTGAACAAATCCTGCTGTTGTGAAGTCTGCTAAAATCTACTGTCCTGATGACTGACTCTGCCCATTAATCACCTGAAGGGTAGCAGGTTGGTTGCTTGGTAGTAAAACACATTACCTGCAAGCAAGTGCCTGGGGCAGAGCAGCGCAGCGTACCGTCGTCATTCAGCGATGTGCCCGCAAGACGGAGGGCAAACAGCAAAACACCAGCAGGACGTGCAGTGTGAGAGGGGGGAACTGGTGTGGATGCACCAAGGTGGACAACAGCCTTTTACTTGATCCGGTTTCATGAAAGGCAGCTGCAAGCAATAAAGCCTTTGCTTTTATTTGCATTCTGCACTGTCTGAGCCTTAAGCCTGTACCCCCGTTGAGAGCTTTTAGGCTCCTTGTGTGTAGCAAATTTTAAAGGTACAAGATATCAACTCCTTCCTCTATTCCTAAATTGAGAGTATTAAACCCTGGTGCCTGGAAAGACTGAGCAGCGGGAGCTCCCCTCGGTGTTTGGCTGTTCAGGTTGCCTGTGAGAGTGTGTGGTTTGCAGTCACTGAAAGAAGCTAATGCCAGGTGGCTAATTTTGTTTCCTAATTTTTTGTTTTTCTGGTGGGACTGTGCTTCTTCCCCTGCAAAGGGTCTGCTTCAGCAAATGTCATCAAAATCACCTGCAGAACTGCCACTCATCAGGAGACTTGGCAACACAGATCACCTGCTCAGGGGCAGTATGAAACTTCCCTTTCTCTAGTGACTGAAAGTATTCAAATCAGACTAGCGAAGGCTGCTGTAAGTGCTGGTGGATCAGTCTCGTGGATTTGTAGGCTTCAGAGGGGAAGTTCAGCTTGGTCCA